TTGAAAATTCATGCTTCAAGCCAAATCATGATTCCACACAGTGGGAGTCCGACTCAAAGGAGGTAGGAAGAAGTTTGAACTTTTCCTTTTTCTTTTTTCTACACTGCCCCTTAATTCTCTTATACCCTCGGAGGTGATGGGAATGACCACTTACTTTATCCTGGTACAGAGAGTAGGTCCCTACTGAATTGTCTGTCTTCTCTTTGCTGGCCTTGTCTGCTGGATTTCTTTTTGCCTTAGGTCTTTAGAGGGCTTGTGGAAGGAGATAATTAAGTTTTCTTTGAAAGGCCTCTTGTGGGGATGAGCCAGGGTGCAAGGAGAGTACCTTGCTCCAGTTACTGAAATGAAACCACCCCTACAGTGGAGCAGCCTCCTCCAGTTTCTGCTGGGTTTTGAGCTGCCTGTTAAATAAGTCAGTGGAGTTGCTGAGGACAAAGTAGCCATAGGAGAAAATCAGATAATTTCCTTTCTGGTAAAGCCTTTAATCTGCAGAATTGATGAGACTGTCATCGAAGGAATCTGTGTCTTCTGTTCTGGGCATTGCCTGGGCAGCTGACCTCCTGTGGCTATTAGATGAGGTAAAAACCACATGGAGGAGGTGAAGGCACTTGCAGAGGAGCCACGCACAGGGCTAAAGAGCTGGGAAGGTTGGTTGGGAATCTTGGGGCCAATGGCAGCAGCCGCAGAGAAAGCTCTCGAGTGTCCAACTAGAACAGGGCAGGGGAGACTCGTCACTCAGAGGGCAGGCCCTGTGGTCTTCAGGAGCCACCAGCCCTCCTCCCACTGCCAGTGTCTCCTGCCTGTGGTGGTGTTCTGCTCTGAACACCAGAAATTGTCTTGGCTTCAGTAAGCTTGCGGTGGGGCTGGGACTAGAATTGGAGACAAAGCATCTTACGTCATGCAAGGGGTAGCTGAGCTGTCCTGACAGGAGACAGGGACTCTCATGCCACCAGGCCTGTAACGTCAGCAGGAAGGATGAGTATCTTTTGCCAAGACTCAGGTAGCACCAGGGAAGATCTAGGTGCAGGATCCACATGCTGTGAACTCACTCCCCCACTGGCTTCCTGGTGAAGACAATTGTTAGGAGGTAGGCCAATGGGCCAGGGCAGGCAGGAGATGCCGGGACACCTCTGCTACGGTGGCCAGGCCCTCAGAGGCACGTGGATGGCTTTGTGCACGTTGGTCGGGCTCCACCCAGTGGTCTGTCTACACAGACAGCTCCAGAGATCCTGCTTTGGCTTGGAGTCACCTCCCTACTTCCCACACCTACTGACTGGCCCAGCGGGCCTTGGTCTTAGGTCTTTGCCTCTAAGCGCCCCACTGGTGGGGCAGGGAGGGACAGGACCCAGGCTGGCCCCTCACAGTTGTGTGCTCTCCTAGGAGCCATGCGGGGCCAGCGGAGCCTGCTGCTGGGCCCTGCCCGCCTCTGCCTGCGCCTGCTTCTGCTCCTGGGCTACAGGCGCCGCTGCCCACCTCTGCTCCGCGGCCTGGTTCAGCGCTGGCGCTACGGCAAGGTCTGCCTGCGCTCCCTGCTCTACAACTCCTTTGCAGGCAGTGACACCGCTGTGGATGCTGCCTTTGAGCCTATCTACTGGCTGGTGGACAGCGTGATCCGCTGGTGTGGGGTGGTGAGTAATGCCTGGGGACAGGAACAGGGATGTTTGGGGGTAGCAGAGGGACATGTGTCTGATGGACCTACACTGGGTTTGGACCCACACTGGCCTCCTACCCTGGGGAAACTCCCGAGTCTACCCTGGGTGTTGGCGAGCTCTCTCACTGCGTCTTCTTGACCTCCCTGGTGTTGGCAGGTGTTCGTGGTGCTGGTGATCGTGCTGACCAGCTCCATCGTGGCCATCGCCTACCTGTGTATCCTGCCCCTCATCCTTCAAACCTACTCAGTGCCACGACTCTGCTGGCATTTCTTCTATAGTCACTGGAATCTGATCCTCATCGTCTTCCATTACTACCAGGCTATCACCACTCCACCTGGATACCCACCCCCGGTGGGTCCCCCCTTAGGGGCATGGGGGAGGGAGAGAACTGCAGGCTATTGGAGCCAGTTCCAGGAGTGCGGAGGGAGAGTGCCTTGGTATTTTGCAGGTACGAAACCGGTGCTGCCACAGTTGTCATGGTGCTTTTCTCCCTCTGCACAGGGCAGGAATGATATCACAACAGTCTCCATCTGTAAGAAGTGCATTAACCCCAAGCCAGCCCGAACACACCACTGCAGCATCTGCAATAGGTGGGTCTCTGGGAACCCCAGCTCTGGCCCTTTTGCTGTAGCTCTAGGGCAGAACCTAGACCTGGAATTTGACAGGACATTTATGAGGCACCCCTCATGTGCCAGGCAGTGTGCCCTCTATATCGGGACACCTGGTCCTCAGGATCGTCCTGCAAGTTCCGTATTTTCACCGCTTGTGGAAAGTGACATTCAGAGAGATGGGCCAGGGTAGGCAAGAGACCCGGATTTAGCTTGTCCAGTGTCATGTAGCCAGTGAAGCAGGGTTTGAAGCAAGGCCTGGCTCTCCTCAAAGTCTGTGCCCTTTCCACCTCAGCAGGATGCTGGTCCTTATAGGAAAGGACTGGCACTGACATCTCAAGATCCTTGGCCACCGTAACAGAGCCTGTGTCCCTCCCTCACAGGTGTGTGCTGAAGATGGATCATCACTGCCGTATCCTTTTATTATCTCTTCTGCCTGAGGCCTCCTTCTTTAGCTCCAGAGCACTGCAGAGGTTTAAGGGCCACAAACCCAAGGCTTCTAGCATCACCCTGCAGAGAACACTGGGCTCATGAGAAGTTTGTAGAAGAGCAGATTTTGGGGCTGACATCTCCTGGGAAAAGCAGGAGGCTTACATGCATTCTGGGATGGATCTTCTTGGAGCAAGGCACCCATCCCTAACAGCTCTTTCTTTTGTAGACTGTCGTGGTAACATCTATTGGATGGAAAGAGATGTTTGGTTCAGTGGGTTGTCCAGTAGGTGTCCAGATAGAACCATTGGTCCCTTGCTGCTGTCCCACACAGATGTCTGGTTAACCCGTTAGGTTGAAGTATTGGCAGACTCGTTTTACTGAAGGATTTCAGTTTTCATGATCTCCTGATGGGACTTGTGAGGGCTTTGAAAAGCTTTAACACTTTCACCTCAACTTCAAGGGAGTCCCATATTTTCCTGCCTTTGGTGACAGGAAGCCTTGGGCTTGGATGATGTTGTCAGGAACCAAGGATGAACCAGAGAAACCTGGACACCCCCTGAAGTTGTGTGTTTGGTCTTGTCCTTAATCCTGCCCCCACCAGCCTGGCTAAACAACTGTGTAGGCCACTATAACCATCGGTACTTCTTCTCTTTCTGCTTTTTCATGACTCTGGGCTGTGTCTACTGCAGCTACGGAAGTTGGGACCTTTTCCGGGAGGCTTATGCTGCCATCGAGGTGAGCCTGTAGTTAGGAGCAGGGCAGCTCAGTAGAGAGCACTTTGGGGTGTGGAATCCGTCCCTAAGGAGTGGGGCTGGTAGCACCCCCCATCCTAGAGGTCTGGGAGTATAACCAGCACTGTTTTCCATCCCCTTAGAAAATGAAACAGCTCGACAAGAACAAACTACAGGCGGTTGCCAACCAGGTGGGCTGTCCCCACCCCACTGCCTCCTGCTGCTCAGGCCAGGGGTATAGAGTTGCTGAGGCAACTGGGGCCCACCTGTTAGTCGAGTTGTAGAGGCTGGGGTAAGGGGCCAGTCGAGACTGGATCGGGGTGTTTCTGGGCACTGTCGGCCGTGGGCAGACTAAGTGGCCTAGGGACAAGCTGGGAGTCCCTGGTACGTGACAGTTTTTGGCTCTCTATTCCATTATCACCTTCTTTGGGCTGAGCAAGGGCTCTGCCTTGGTGATGGCCTGAGCAGCAAGGAGTCTATGTTAGTCTGTGTAATGGGGTTCCAGGGGACAGAGGTCGGGCTGGGCCAGTCTGACCATCCTTTGTTCCTGGTCTGTCTGCGTCCGCAGCAGGATCGTCCCTTCTCCCCTGGCCTTTTAGGACTCCTTATTCTGAGCAGATCTTGGGCTTGTGATTGTGTCTCTGCTGCCCTTTCGGTCCTTAGTGGGGCTCACAGTTCTCTCCCTCCAGTTATTCCATTCTGGGTATGGGTCTCGTCCCCTCTTGGGGATTACAGCCACACAGTTCTAGCTGGGGAGTGGAGTGGCTTCCCCTGGAGCCCCATTTGTGTTGTCAGAGCTAAAGGCCCAGGGTTGGTCCCTCCTGTGCTTTACCATCCTGTCCAGACCTGCTCTGCCCCGTGTTCGTCCATGATGATGCCGCCAGCTTGGTCCACCCATCTGGTTGCTGCCCTGACTCCTCTGTGGCTTAACCCCCTATTTTCTCATCATGGGCTTGGATCACTTCCCTGCCTGCAGGTGTTGGGCTCTGGTAGAGAGAGACCAATGGAGCAAATGATCCAGACTTTGCTGTTTTCTTTTTCTAGACTTATCACCAGACCCCACCACCCACCTTCTCCTTCCGAGAAAGAGTGACTCACAAGAGTCTTGTCTACCTCTGGTTCCTGTGCAGGTATCTCAACTCTCATTTTTGACAGTTTGAGGGGCAGCTTCAGAAAAACCTTTTTCGGTGCCCACACCCAGGCAGGAACCCATCCCCGTGTAAACTGCTGCTGTTCTTATTCTCACTTAGGTTGGCAAAGAGTAGGGCTTAATTTTCTTCAGCATTTGGGCGCAGGGAACATTAAAGATTTGGCATTGAGTGTTTGGTATGTGCCAAGGGAAGTTAAACTCCTACTTAAAGGGTAGGTGCATGTCATAGATGAGGAAAATTGCAGATCTGAGGGGTGAGGTGATTTGTTCCATGATACTCAGCTAGGAATGGGAGAGCTGGAACCTGAACGTTGTGCCATTTTATTCTAATTGTTAGTGCTTTTACTACCTCTTCTGTCTCCCAAGCATGGGTATTTTAGGAAATATATAACATTTTCATTAATAGAAATAGACTTATTTCCCCATCTTGCTTTCCACATCATTTATTCTTAGCCCACATTGATGCTTTTTCATGGATGCAGTGAAGTAAAAGTTCGTCTAGGACACGTACGCTGGGAGTTAAGGCAGACTTAGACATAAGCCCCTAGGCAGTCACTGTTGCTCAGCTCAATTTCAGGCCTACGCATGGCCTCTCACTCCCTCCACACTACCCCATGACCTTTGCCCCTCTTTTCTCAGTTCCGTGGCACTTGCCCTGGGTGCCCTAACTGTATGGCACGCTGTTCTCATCAGTCGAGGTGAGACTAGTATCGAAAGGCACATCAACAAGAAGGAGCGACGCCGACTGCAGGCCAAGGGCAGAGTGAGTAGGGCCGGGATTGGGGTGGAGGGATGGGTAGGTAACTGAGCCTGCCATCCTATAAACAGAGGCCATGGTCAGGGCCAACTAAGGCAGGCATCATGAAATCCAGAACTTGCCTGGCCAATTTAGGCTCAAAATTGGTTTAAGGAAAAGGATTCATAGAAACATGTTTTTCTTTGCTCTAGGTTTTTAGGAATCATTACAACTATGGCTGCCTGGACAACTGGAAGGTATTCCTGGGTGTGGACACAGGAAGGTAAAGTAAAATATTTAGACCAGCACTGTTCATTGAACTTTCTGGAATGAGAAAAATATTCTATACCTCTGCTGTCTAAAACATTAGCCATTAGTCACATACGGCTTTTGAGTGCTTGCAGTGTGGCTAGTATATCAGTGAATTGAATTTTAAATTTAATTTCATCTTCACCAATTTAATTAGGCATGTGTGGCTAGTGGCCCCCATATTGGTACGGTAGCAGGTGACTACGACAGAATCCTTAGAAAGCTGTTCTCGAGAAGGGACCTCTAGTTAGGGTATGCTGGCCACCAGTCACCTCTCATTTGTATGGCAGTGTCTGGATTTCAAGCACATAATTTGTGGGATTGAAGTCATCTATTTGTGACAGAGGTCCTAAGACAATAAATGAAGCTAGTTCCCTCAGCCCAAGAGACAAAGGTAAATCATTCTTCAAATTGCAACTACTGAGGCAGTAATAAGTAGGTGACTGGAAGTACCTGCCCTCTTCCTTTTCCCATCCTATTACTCCTGTCACTGTGCTTACAGTGGCCCCTTAGAAGTTTAGCTCAAAACCTCTAAAGGCCTTCAAGGCACCAGAGGGCACATTTATTGGACAGAACTGTAACTTTTATTACTTTTGCGATGAACGCCAGGGTAGCTTCAGACTACCTTGATATATCTTTGCTGAGGAATGAGGCTCAGGAAGGAAGACTAGGAAATCTTAGATCTCACAAGTATTTCTGTCTTCTTTTATAGGCATTGGCTGACTCGGGTGTTGTTACCTTCCAGTCACCTGCCCCATGGGAACGGAATGAGCTGGGATCCCCCTCCCTGGGTGACCGCGCACTCAGCCTCTGTGATGGCAGTGTGAGCTGGAGTGTGTCAGCCACAACTTGAGCACCACCCTGCTTCCGACATTGCCTCAAGGGCCTCCAAGGATAGCTTCTTGGAATCCTTGAGCAAAAAGAGCCAGTGGGCCTGCCTTACGGTACCATGCAGGGACAGCTCAAGGACCAGTCTCCCGGCCATGGCGGAAGCAAGGCATGATGTGGAAAAACCCTAGGACTGATGTCCCTTTACTCAGGCAAACAGAAGTTCCAGCCCCAGACTGGAGATCAGGCAGCTAGCAACCTTGCCAGGTACTGACCCCGACCTCCTCCAGCTTACAGCACTGGGGTTGGCTACCACCTCTTCCACTTGCCGTCTGAGAAAACACCTGAATGGTAGAGCTGAGATCCTGGCTTCTCAACAGGGCAAAGATACCAGGCCTACTGCTGAGGTCACTGCCACTTCTCATGTGCTGAAGGGAGCAAAAATAAAGGTATTTGATTTTTTAAAGATATGTAGCTTTTCACTCTTTGCCTTTCTCTTGTGGGGCGGGGAAGGGGAAAGTCAGGGTCAAGGCCTAGTGAGTGGGTGTTAACGGTCCTGCCACCTCTGCCCCACTTGGAGGGGTTGGATGTCCTGAAGAATTCCTGGCCAGTTCCTATCACTACTGTTCCTCTAGCTTATGCAGTGTTGCTTCTGGTTATGTACTGCTGAGGCATAAGTGGAGAGAGGGAAATAACTGACGGCCCCATTACCAAAAGAATCTTTACTCTCCAGCAGGTACACACACGCCACCATCCCTGGTCCTCGGGGCCACGCTCATCTGTATTCACCCTCAGCAGCATATCTCACTTTTTCTGACATATAAATGCAAGAGCCCCAAGACCAAGGTCATTCTTCAAACACAAGGAGTCTCGCACTCAGTTACTTCACAAATCCATTACAAGTCAGGATTCCTCTGTTTCTTGTACAGCCATGCGACAGAGGCCCAGCATTTGTGCGGTGTCTGTGGGAAAGGCAATCAGAAGCCAGTCATCTCCCTGCTTTGGGCAAGATGGCTTGATAGTTAGTAATTTCAGGTTAGATTGTCTTTCAGAACAGTGTAGGCCAGGATGGAGGGCTCAGCTGCCAGGGCTCCCCAGCAGAAACCTGTAGGCAAAAAGAATGTTGACAGCATTAGTGGTGAGGCTCATTTCAGTCCCATCTCTCCCCATGACCTAAAAACTCACCATTCTCCCCTGGCTGACACTGCTTCCTTACGCACCAGTCTCTTCTTGTCATCCAGGGGTTTGGCTAAGGCCCGGATCACCTGCAGTTTGTACGGCAGCAGCTGTGGAGTTAGAGGAGCTAATCTTAGCCTTGTTCAACCAAGACAACCAAAAAAGCTGCTCTGACTCTACAACTAATACTCTTCCTATTCTTCTTTAGTGATTCCAGAGAATGCTATGTGGCAGGCTGGCCATTATATTTTAGGGTAGTCAGGAGATCCTTGCCTGTCTGTACCCTACAGTGCATATCTCAGTCACACAACAGGGTGGCCAGTCCCTCTTGACTAAGGCAGAAAGGTACCTCTGGCTCTTCTAAGAAGCTTCCAAGCCAGAGAGGGACATCTGCGGTACTCACCACGGGGGTGGGCAGGTGAGTAACAGCGTGCATACACTGCAGTGCAGCGATCCGGACAGCCTGGAACACAACCATAAGGAGGTGAGGGGAGACCCACGAATGGGAGATGTACAGGCCAAAGAGTTGTTCAGGCTCAACGCACCATGGAAGGGCTGGAGCTGAGGTTTAGGAACTTGGTGACGAGGGTGTCAACGTGAAGACTCATTACTTGGGGTGCTTCCAGTAGAAGAGGCTGAAGGCAGCTGAGGGTGGAGAGCTGTACCACAGAGTCTGGGCAGGACAGGGCCTCCAGCAGCAAGGAAAGCAGCTAAGGGGCCACAGGAAAGGTGGGATGACCACATCTTTGATGAGCCTGCTTTTCCTCCCCTTTCTAGCCCCAGCTGGGGGACAATGGCTTGGTCCCTGCTTAGAGGCTGTGACTGCGAGGCTTACCGTGGGCAGCTCCGGCAAGAGCACAGGCTTTGGCAGCCTGTTAAGTACATGAGACAGACCCTTCAGGTAATTTGGCTTCACATCTGTAAAAAATGGAAAAGCTTAGGGGAAAAACTGGGCTCAGACATAGAGCTTAAGAATTCAATTCTAATCTCTGGTGAAGCTGGGACATTAGCCTACAAAAAGTTTTTTTTTTTTTTTTTTTTTAAAAAGCCCCTCAAGCCCAGAATAGCCAAGATATGCCAATCAAAGGAAAAGAGTGGGTCAAGAATCTAGATGTTCAGCGCTTCAGGTACAGGTCACACTACAGCTCTAAAGAAGCACTCAGGTCCTAAATTATTTTAGAGACTGTGGCCTGACCAATGGAGAGGTCTATATATTTGAGGACTTTCCTTTAGACTCTCCTCACCTCGAGGAGCAGCATGGAAACCCCGGACCAAAGCAGGCACGTTATCCGTGAAGAACCGCTGGCGAAACATGATTCGCACTTCAGCATGGCCAGCACGAGTCAGCACCTCAGTGCAGTCAGACATGAGCAGAGAGAAGCCATCAGCTGCTGCTGGGCCTAGTTCTGGATCACTCAGGAGGCCCACGAGCTGGAGAAAAGAGAGCCTTTGAGGCGCATCAGCGGGGAGGAATCTTAAATACCCAAGAGGAGGACAGCAGTCATTTTTGGGAAGAAGAGGATCGACAGGGAAGTTCCTGTTAGGTCCTAGGTTCTGCTGTCTTCAGCAAGGACTTACCCGGTCTGTAAGGCAGGAGCTGAGAGGATGATATCTGAGCACTAGGGCCTTTGTGACCTGTTATCAGAGAGAAAGAGAACAGTCAGGGGCATGACACTCAAACCCTGAGAAGCATGCATGCGCTTCAGGGTTAAATGGAGAAATTCTTTTTAACCAGACCAACTGCTCTGTCTAACTGGAATCCATTCCGACTCCTTACCCAGAGAAGCAGTGTGAAGGCCTGACTACGATAGGGCCCAGAGCTCAGCCCAGCCTCCACTTTGTCCACAGCCAGCTGTAGGAATTCATCCAGCTGTTGCCCTAAAAAGGAGGGAGGAAATGCTGATGCAGACGCTACACATGTCCGTTTTACCAACAAAGGTGTAAATCATTTAAATGTAGAAGCCATTAGAAAAAACCAATATTGTTTTGGTTGTGGATTTGGCCCACTCAGCTCTAGGACACCAGCACAAGAGCCTGGTATTCCCATAATGTAGGGGTGCTGGCATTCGAAAAAGAGTTGTCTACTTCTAATAAAGAATTACCCCTAAGGGCTTCCCTGGTGGTGCAGTGGTTGAGAGTCCGCCTGCCGATGCAGGGGACACGGGTTCGTGCCCCGGTCTGGGAAGATCCCACATGCCGCGGAGCGGCTGGGCCCGTGAGCCGTGGCCGCTGAGCCTGTGCGTCCGGAGCCTGTGCTCCGCAACGGGAGAGGCCACAATAGTGAGAGGCCCCCGTACCGCAAAAAAAAAAAAAAAAAAGATTTACCCCTAATAGCTCTTTGTAGGGAATAGGATGACAGAACTAGATAGAGCACTCTGCTTGAAGCCCTTATCTTATGTCCTATAAAGCTTTGCCAAACTCTGGTCTTGACTCTTGTCCCACGGGCTGTCCCTTGGAAAGCCCTATTATTGATATATTAGCTAACTTCCTTTAAAAAGAGAATGAGAACTAAACGTCAAGATTTCATCAGAAGTTGATCCAGGGAGGCTCCCAACCCACAGCCTCACTCCAGTACCTGCAGGATGCTTGTTCAGAAGTCCTGCAAAGCACTTGGCAGCAGCAGTGGAGGAGAAGGGGCAGTTGTGGCAGCAGCTCAGCTCTAAAAGTTCCCGCATGAGTTGGTTCAGCTGAGGGATTTCCACCTATAGAAAACCTGGCCATGTCATGGACCCAGAGAACACTTGAACTCTAAGAGACACCCAGGAGAGAGTGGCAGCAGGGGCCAGGGTGGATGGGAAATAAACTCTCCAGTGGGAAAAGCAGAAAGTCAGCTTAGCTTGTGACAAATTTCAGCCCAGAAGTCACCCAGGATTCACCTCCCCGGGTCAGGGTTAAACTAGGGTACGCCCCAAATGTTGTGGTCTCTTACATTTCGAGGCAGGGAGCAGACAAAGGCCATAAGCAGTGCAACCAGCCGCCTCTGCCCTGAGGAGCCATCCTACAGAGGAAGAGGAAGAAGAGCCTTAACAAGCCTGTCCTGCTAGCAAGAGGCTTGTCTGCCCTGAGGATACCCATCCCAGGTTAGCCCTAAAAATCTGAAGGACAGAAGTCCTAAGATTCTCCCCAATCTGATCCATCAGACCCTTACCTGGAATGGTTGGAATCTGCCAGGGAAGCTGTTTTCAGGCAGGAATGTGATGTTGCCATCCAAGAAAAGGGGCACAATGTGGGCGACACTCTGGGCAGCCAAGCTGGGGGGAGAGCACTAGGTGTCACCGAGGAGCCAGGGCTCTACAGCAGCCCTGGGGTTCCTGGTAGTCACTGAGTCCGTGGGCCAGAGCATGATCATTCACATCTTCAACAAATACTAATTCAGCACATATTATATGCCAGGAACCATTCCTGTTCTAGGCCTTGGTGCTACAGCAGTGAACAAGACAGATCAAATCCCTGTTCTCCTGGACCTTACGATCTAGCGAGAGAACTCAATGTGTATTTCAGAAGTGCTCCACAGGTGACTCTCATGCACATCTGCAGCTAAGAGCCATTAGTCTCTGGCCCCCAGTCCATGATGCTAAAAGGCCCCTTCTTACTTTGCCAGCAAGACTTAACAAAACAAAAGCTGCCTCCATGTTTCAATCTGGGTAAAAGGACAGCTCAAAAGGAAGTTATTTGCTGCTTCTTCCCAAGAATTCTGTCCTCCCTGGGATCAAGTCACATCCATGATTATACTCACTCAGGGCTCAAGTGGGTGGTGGCAGTGCCAATGACAGACACCATGGCGGCCAAGACCTCATCCTGCAACAGCACTTTCTTCAGAACTGGGTGCTCCTTCTCTGCAAAATCAACACACACACAATCACAGGCCATGACTGTGGCTCAGACGATTAGGTCCTGTCATCATCATGACTCTGGGCCTTGACTCTAGTTACAAGAGGAGCAGTTTTTAAACTGTCCTCTAGTAGTGCTGTAGCCCTGAGAAGCAGCAAGGCACCAGAAGTAGGAGTGTGTAATGCAGGCCATAGGGAGCTCCCGAGAACTTTGTGCAGTCCTTTTGACTGGGCAACAGTGGAAAATAAGGCTAGCTAATGTGAACATTCTTAACATCAGAAATGTTAGTCTTTTCAAAAACTTAAAGGTAACATGGATTTATCTTCATGGGTCCTTTTATACAGCAGCTACCACACATACATTACTGTTGCCAAGCACTGCACATTAACTTATTTAATCCTTACCAACTACCCTGTGATATAGATATTACTCTCTATCAACCCCATAAAGTGAGGAAACAGAAGCTTAGAAAGGCTATCTTCATCTAAGTTGGCAAGTGGTAGAGTTGACCACAAAACCCAACCAGGTCTGCTTGACTCCAGAGCCTAATTCTAACTAATCTAATTACACAGCAACTAAGGGGGAAAAAGTGTGCATCCTTTTGAGTGTTGCTAACACTAGTAGATTTTGGTTCCTGCCGAAGGTCAGCTTGGCACCCTCTGCTTGAAGTGAAATCTCATTATGTGGACACAGGATTCAAAAGAAGCCTCTGCTGGTACAAAATGCAATACCAGTGATACCCCGAGGGTGGCAGTGCTGTTCAACACTAGTGGAAGGCTGATTCGGGAGGAGGGAGGGGTGAGGTGGAGGAAGTTACCTGGCATGGAAGCCTGCACAGCCAAGGCAAGCAGGCAAGGTATAGCTGTCTGATGGAAATACCAGCAGCTCTCGGGGTCTTGCTGGCATTTTTCTGCCACCTGCTGGAGACTCTGACAGACAGCAATAACTTCACTTGTTCCTGCAACCGTATTCCCTGTGTGGTGAGAAAGTTCTCTGTAAGGTTTTCTTAAAAGCACTTCCAGGTCTGTCACATACAGAATATGGGAAGAATAATCGAAGACGAGTAACTAAAGAGACCAAGAGTGTCTTATAAAGAGCCAAGTCATTTTATCCAGGAGCTGAGACCTGCCCAGCCAGCTCTGCAACAGAAGCATTCATACACAGCTGATCATTGAACAAGGCGGGGGTAAGGGGAGCCGACCCTCCTGTACAGTCGAAAATCCACGTGCAAGTTATAATGGTCCCTCTTTACACAGTTCCTCCATAGCTGCAGTTCTGCATCTGTGGACTCAACCAACCACAAGCATATTGTACTATAGTTTTTACTACTGAAAAAAATCTGTATACGTGGACCTGTGCTGTTCAGACTTGTTTTGTTCAAGGGTCAGCTGTACATTCTCATTTAGTTTTTATAACAACTCTCTTAGAAATATCATTTTCCCCATTTTATAGAGGAGGATGTGGAGGCTCAATAAATTACCAGTGGTTTTTCCAGGGTAACAGTGAAAAAGTCAGGAATCAAACCCAGGCCACGCTCTGAGTCCAGTGTTCTACTTTACATCAGGTGCTGGATCATCCACAAAGGGCCGGGCAGTGCAGAGTGGGGCACTTAGGGAATTAGTGAGGTTCTATGGTGTGCATGCACAGGTTCACAACAGCAATAGCTGCTGTCACTTATGAGGAGCAGTGCTTCTCAAACTCCAGGGTATGTACAGGTTACTTGGAGATCCAGTTAAAATGCAGATTCTGATCAGTGGCACCTGAGATTCTGCATTTCTAATAAACTCCCAGATAATACCCGTGCTGCTGGTTGATGAACCCTATTTTGAGTAGCTTGGCCTTACAGTGGTGCTTTTCTTAAAAATTTTATTTATTTTATGTTTTTATTTTTGGCTGCGTTGGGTCTTCGTTGCTGCACGCAGGCTTTCTCTAGTTGCGGCGAGTGGGGGCTACTCTTTGTTGCGGTGCCTGGGCTTCTCATTGCGGTGGCTTCTCTTGTTGCAGAGCACAGGCTCTAGGTGCGTGGGCTTCAGTAGTTGTGGCGCGCGGGCTCAGCAGTTGTGGCTCACAGGCTCTAGAGTGCAGGCTCAGTAGTTGTGGTGCACGGGCTTAGCTGCTCCGCGGCATGTGGGATCTTCCCGGACCGGGGCACAAACCCGTGTCCCCTGCATCGGCAGGCGGACTCTCAACCACTGCGCCACCAGGGAAGCCCGGCAAGCGATTCTTAACCACTGCTCCACCAGGGAAGTCCCCAGTGGTGCTTTTCAATGGCCTCCGTGGGCATTCTTAATAACTGTTGCCCAAGTCTCATCCCTCCTCAGAGGCTGAATCAGTTGGACTGACTAAGACCCACGCATTCAGCACTTTTTAAAAGTTCCCATGTGACTCTTACTATAGCCACCACTGGACCCACTGCTTTAGAGGCATCAACTCCAAACCTGACTATGGTTCCCCCTTCAGCCCAGTTCCTTGAGGACTGTTCCTGGTAGTTACCTTTGTTCATCTGGCGGAGATGCTGCAGCAGAAGAGGCAGGGTCTCCTTGACAATACTGGCATGTGTGGATATAGCTGACAAGGCTTGCAGACAGCGCCGATGCCGGGAGCATTTGGTGGGCCCATCCCCTCTAGCCAAATCTGACTCCTCTGAAAGCAGCCCAGGAGACAAGGTTTCACTGTGTGATGGCAAGCACGAAGGCCCCCAAGCCTCCCTGGGAAGGGGTAAGCCACGGAAGATCAGAGACACATACCTATACAGAGCTCCCCAGCAAGCCTGGGCACTAGGTGGCTGCTGAAGGCCACAGGGTAGAGAGTGGCCAGGGTTCCTGATGCTTCCAGTGCTGCCACCCTGCCGGGGCACAAGGCAGATGAGCATTAGCTGAGCCTTGACCCATGGCTCTCTTGCCTAGGCCTGCCATTAGGCAGATTCAGGAGTGTGGGCTTCTGAGGCCACCTTGCTGAAGAGTAGGATTCCAGTACTTACACCACTAAGTTGGACCGGGCTTCTTAATGCCCAAGAAAAGAGAGCATTCCCACACCTCCAACCGGGGAGCAGCCAGAGCCAAGCACAGGGCCCACCTCCCCTACGGAAAGCCAAGGGTCGGAAGCACAGAGCCCTGGAACAGCTTGCTCGATCTCGCTGCCTTATATTCTCACCAACTCTGGGAATCCTCCTCCAGGAAGCTCAGTCTGTATAGGTGACCCACTGCCAGCTCCAAGTCCCCAGAAGACAGGAGATCTGTGCAGGAAGGAAACACGAACCTCATCTTTCTTCCCCTACAGCCATCACAACCCTTCCTAAAGTCCTATAAGAAGTCCCAAATCATCCAGAGTTGTAGTGAGAACCAGGGAATTAAGATTGCTCTTCACTTAAGACAGAAAATCACAAGAAAGGGACCAATACTCCTATCTTTTCTCTTTCCCTTTAGCGTACCTGGCTGGGCACCCAAGACTGTGAGTGTACGGATGCCAACAAGCTGAAGCTGGGTGCTGGGGTCCGTCAGGGCCATGAATACCAGTGAGCACAGCTGGTCCTTGAAGCCACTCAGAGGCCTTTCATCTAGGAAGAGACAGAGTCCAGGTTAGAGGGACATCCTATTCAGAAGTGATGCAAAGATAACCTGGGACAGATTTTTTTTTTTTGCCGTGCTGCGTGGCATGTGGGATCTTAATTCCCTGACCAGGGATCGAACCCGTGCCTCCTGTGGTGGAAGCACAGAGTCTTAAGCACTGGACCGCCACGGAATTCCCGGGGCAGATTTAAAGAATTTAATCCATTGGGTATCTGGGAAGTACACTAGGAAAGAAATCAACAGCTCTCAACTGTTAAGTGTTCTCTTGGGCTACATCCTCAGAACAACAGGTCCACTGTTCTAGACTACTTCTCTGTAGCGCTCTTTGCCTGCCATCCTTTATAGGGCTATAGTGCTCAGCAGCCCCCAGGATACCACATCTAGAAGATGGCCTCACCCTTGTCTTCATAGCTCCATTTCTGTTGCAGCTTCAAGAAACCCAGGATCATTTCAAGGATTGTCCGCCGCTGGTTGCTCTGTAATGTTTTAAGGGGTATTCAAGTCTAAAAATACTTTATTTTTAAAGGATTTCAGTCCTGCTACTTGCAGAATTGGGGAGAATTATCCTTTTACATAAGAGTGTCAGGAAAAGAGTGAACAAGGGAACCAGCAGCAGCAAATGGGAGCAAAACCCGAGATCTACTATATCTAGGCCTAAGCTCAATGCTTAGCGCTCTCTCTGTGAGACAGCGATCCTGGCAAGGGGTCCCATCATTTCCCCAACAGATTCTGCTTCCTTACCTGACTGTGCTTGTGGAACTGTTCCAGCAGTAGGGGCAGCACGTTGCTGGTGATGTGGTCACAGGCCCGGGCAGACGCACCTGCAGCCGCCTGCAACAATTTGGCACTAGGCCACACCAGTTTCATGTCTGGTTCACACAGATGGTGCCTGCAGTCTAGAAAGGCAGCACATCACAGACCTAGGGAGTAGGCTGAATGTTGCCTGGTTCCCCTGCAGGCCATAGAAGTTGGAGGCTGAGCCCTGGGACAGCTGGCTAGCAGTTACCACTTAAATTGCTTTCAATTCAAAGCAGGGCTCCAGCACCCAAATCACTGAACATGGGGGCCACTCATGAAAGGTCACTGGCCTTAAGGAATTTCTCTGTTGTGCTTACTCCCCTTTCTAGCTGCCATGGCCCCATTACCCTGTAGAATGTTGCTAAGGAAGGAGTCAAGGAGGTCCTCAGCATCAGCCCTCAGCACAGAGCGAGACAAACACGCAGTCAGGGAGTTAAGGGCTGCCAGGCCCTCGGCCTCTACCCGCTCACTTGCCGTCTGGAACACCTGTCAGGGAGGGATCCCATGGCTACTGAGGTGAGCCTGCACCAGGTGAGACCCCGCCCACCTACTGCCTATTTCCTTTGCGGGGAGGGGATGGTGAGAACCTTTGGGGCACAGCAATGGAAATTAACCCCCCAAATGAGTTTCTTCTCAATTGGTGTATTCTCACTAAGTCCTCAGTCCCACTAGGATTGATACACATACTTTTTGAGAAACTGAATACGACTTTGAGCAGTGGTTGTTGGGAACCCCTTTCCTAAGTCTCTTCCTCTCCCGCTCTACTCAGCATGACCTACGCTCCTTACCATGGAAGGACAGGAATTGGGCACTGTGCGAGACTGATCATGTGCCACCACCAAACAGCTCACCCTACCCCTGTCATTCAACTAGAAGTATGCCCCCTTGCTCTCTTGCTGAATAACCAAGCACAGCAACAGAGGGAAAAGGATACAGTGTGTTATTTCCCCTCGTGCCTGACAACCAGGAGTTAATGGTAGTGAGTTTATCTCAGTAACACTAACCTCTCTGCGGATAGAAGCCCAAAGGCTGGGGAGGAAGTCCTTCAGTTCTTTCTGTCCGTACACAGCACAGCAAGCATTCTGCCAAGGAAAGCACAGGTAATGGCTATCTACACACTCAGACTTCCTAGGATATGCAGGCCCCTCAGCATAATGGCACCTGAAAGACCCCGGTTCTCAGCAGTAAACCAGCAGGATTTCATAACCATCCTACCCAGGTCACTGAAAAATAGGAGCTTGTCCTGACTGATGGAAAACAAGCATGAAGAGGGAGCCCTGGTCAGCCTTTCCTCAGCTGCCACTCAGTTACTACAGAACAAGACAAAATGCAACTGGGGGCTTTAGGTCAACATATAGGCCCGGATTCTGGGTATCCCTCTCTTGAGGCCAATGAACTATTCCCTGGCTCTCCAAGAATCAATTCATAATCCTTTAGCACCCCTAAATTGTCTAAAGACAGCTAGATCCTCAAAAGAGAACAATCGCTCACCAGAGTCTGCAGAGAATCCAGCTTGGCACTCAGAATCTCGGAATCCACTTTCTCAATCAGCAGGGGGAGCAGGAACTGTGGGAGAGAAGGAAGAACTAAAGAGTGAGATATGGGTAGTGCTGCAGCCACACTAAGGCCAACCATGTCCTCACTGCCACCAGTTCCCAGGGGTAGGTGTTACATCAAGGAGCTATACTCGAGTCGAGAGTTGTGACTGTAAACTAACCTCCCTCTCAATCCATGGCCAGACTCCCAGTGACCTGAGAAGTGGGCTAGCTGGCAAAGCTAAAGAATTTCAAAAGATAGCACCAAGTAGGGATTGGTTTACTATTTTAAATGAAGAGATGGTGAAGTTTTTTACTTCGAAGGTCTGAAGACACTTGCAAGATGCCATAACCTAAAAAGTATACTGGAACTTTCTTTTCCCCCATGCTTTTACTGTTCTTTCTTCAGACCCTTCTGTGGGTTGAGGCCACATAACCTAACTTTGGCTAGACCCACCTCAGCAAATCGTGGTGTAGAAGCCAGCACAGCTCGAAGACTCAGGATGAGATCTTCTCTCTGGATACCATGGGGATCATTAGGTGGCTGGAAAAGGGAGAAGGGGGCGTGAGCTTGTATAACTCTTCAGACCACCCCTGGACACAGGAGTGAACCTGGCAACCCTGCAGAATAGGGTGAGATTTACACCCAATCTGGCAGAAGAAGTTTATGGTATGAGGCCCCAGCAGGAAGACTGCTTGCTCTTACATGTTCCTTGGGAATTTTTGTCTGTTGGACATTTATTTTCTATCTGATCACACAGTTTCCATCTGATCTATCATCTCACCACTCAGAGATAAGCACCCTTAACTTTCTGGTGCAAGTTTCTTCTCTGTATATATACTATTATGACTATGTGATTGGTAGACGCTGTTTCCCTTTAAAATATATACACTTTTAAAAAATGTGATCTTTTGAATATATTTTCTGCAATCTATTTTTTCACTTAATACTAGGTACATTTTTTCATGTTATTAAATTATTTTTTCATAGCATTAGTTTTAGTGGCTGATACTATTTCATTGTGTGGTTGAGTCACAGTTTATTTGGATAATCACCCTTTGATGGACATTTCTATTTTTTTACCATTATAAAAAGCTGTAATTCTGGCATTATAAAAACTTTCATGATTTCTGCATCAAGAAGGCAGATTTTTTTTTATTGAAGTATATAGTTGACTTACAATACTGTGTTAGTTTCAGGTGTACAGTAAAGTGATTCATTCACTTATATACATATATATATTTTTCAGATTCTTTTCCACTATAGGTTATTATAAGATACTGAACATAGTTCCCTGTGTTATACAGTAAATCCTTGTTGTTTATCTATTTTATATATAGTGGTATGTATCTGTTAATCCCATACTCCTAATTTATTCCTCCTCACCTTTCCCCTTTGATAACCATAAAGTTTGTTTTCTATATCTTTGAGTCTGTTTCTGTTTTGTAAATAAATTCATTTATATTACTTTTAGATTACACATATAAGTGATATCATATAATATTTGTCTTTCTCTGTCTTACTTTACTCAGTATGATAATCTCTAGGTCCATCGATGTTGCTGCAAATGGCATTATTTCATTCTTTTTTATGGCTGAGTAGTATTCCAGTGTGTGTGTGTGTGTGTGTGTGTGTGTGTGTGTATAAACACACACATACTCACATACACGCACCCCCCCCCAACATCTTTATCCATTCATCTGTTGAACGTTTAGATTGCTTCCATGTCTTGGCTCTTGTAAATAGTGCTGCTATGAACACTGGGGTGCATATATCTTTTCAAATTAGAGTTTTCATCTTTTCTGGATATATGCCCAGGAGTGGGATTGCTGGATCATATGGTGGCTCTATTTTCAGTTTTTTAAGGAACCTCCATACTGTTTTCCATAGTGGCTGCACCAATTTACATTCCCACCAACAGTGGAGAGTTCCCTTTTCTCTACACCTTCTCCAGCATTTATTATTTGTAGACTTTTTGATGATGGCCATTCTAACAGGTGTGAGGTGATACCTCATTGTAGTTTTGATTTGCATCTTTTCATGTGCCTGTTGGCCACATGTATGTCAAGAAGGCACACTGAAAACATACATCAGATTTTCCTTTTCTCTTTAGAAACCCCACCAAAAATACAGTAAAGGGATTTTCCTTTTTTTCTTTTTTTTTTTTAAAGCTATAAAGCTAAAGGTTGACAAGAACAGGATAAGGGATGTTAGCAACAAAACTGTAGAAGGTGAAAAGCAGATGGATAAGAAGAAAATGACTTAGCAGAGCCAAGACAACAGAATCCTCAGTAGGCTTGGGGAATGCTGAGTAACTCCCCATATACACCAGTCTCCTCAAAAGGCTTCGCAACCAGAAGTACCAGGTACCTTTGGAATTGCGAGTGGGGTTCGAGAAGCAATCTGATCTCCGAGATTGCTTCTCAAGTCCTCCCTAGCTGCAGTAGAATCTGGAGGTTTAATTCTTTAGAGAAGGTAAGACAGAGGTCTAGTCTTAGAGACATAGGTGCAGCTGAGGGCCTGGGTGCTGAATCAAAAGAGGTCTAAGTGGGAATTCCCCAGTGGTCCAGTAGTTAGGACTCAGTGCTTTCACTACCAGGGCCCGGGTTCAACCCCTGATTGGGGAACGGCACGGCAGGAAAAAAAAAAAAAAGGTCTAAGTGATACAGTTTTGAGAATTGAGACTTTCCAACCCCTTCCAGCCCTATTTGCTTGTAGCCAGACTTCTCCCTCTAGGCTGATCTAAGGTCTTTTTCTAGAAGAACCTGACTAGCCCAAGAGGAAGAATACACTGGGGGTTCCCAAGCTGTCCATGTAAGCCACTATACAGGGAAGTTCATCCTCAGCCAGCCCATTCCCTGTGCTCAGAGCTCCCACTCAACTTTATAATTCTCACTTTGAAACATGTGCAAACTCCCAAGGATTACCAGATATCTGAAGAAAGCCTCTGACCTGGAAATAGAGACCAAAAACAAAAAAAAAAACTTGGAGGAAACAAAGACCACATATGTGGGGAGAGTTTTCAAAAACAGTAAGAAAGTAATTCATTCATGGATTAAATAAGAACAGAATGCTAAAGAAAAAAAGACCACCAGTCTTAACTTGGTGGTCCAGCAGTTAAGGCTCCGAGCTCCCAATGCAGGGGGCCTGGGTTCGATCCCTGGTCAGGGAACGAGATCCTGCATGCCGCAACTAAGAGCCTGCATGCCACAACTAAAAGATCCTGCATGGTGCAACTAAAGATCCTGCATGTGGCAACAAAGATCCTGCGTGCTGCGACTAAGATCCAGCACAGCCAAATAAATAAATATTTAAAAAAACAAAACAAAAGACGTTCAAGAGATCATCAAAAATGACAATAAAAGGCCCTGGGAAAATGGATAAAGAAGACGTGGTACATATATACAAAGGAATATTACTCAGCCATAAAAAGGAATGAAATTGGGTCATTTGTAGAGACGTGGATGGACCTGGAGAGTGTCATACAGAGTGAAGTAAGTCAGAAAGAAAAGCAAATATCGTATAATAATGCATATATGTGGAATTTAGAGAAATGGTATAGATGATCTTATTTGCAAAGCAGATACAGAGACACAGATGTTGAGAACAAATGTATGGATACAAAGGGGGAAAGGGGTGGGGTGGGAGGAATTGGGAGACTGGATTGACACATATATATTATTGATACTATGTATAAAATAGACAACTGATGGGAACATACTGTATAGCACAGGGAACTCTACCTAATGCACTGTGGTGACCTAAATGGGAGGGAAGTCCAAAAGGGAGGGGATATCTGTATGTGTACGGCTGATTCATTTTGTTGTGCGGTGGAGGCTAACACAACATTGTAAAACAACCATACTCCAATAAAAATTAATTAAAAAAAAAAAACGTCCTGGGAAATTCAAAGCATGAGAGCAGAAATGAGAAACAAAATCAATAGAAGGGGTTAATAGGAGATGTGCTAGTCCTGGGCCTTTCTGCCCTCAGAGCCATTCCTTGGGCTGACCACTGCAGGCTACATCTCCCAGGCTCCCATAATGGCCTGGGTTCAGCCAACGGGAAGCACTTGTAGAAGAATGCAGGTCAGAAGGAAAGGAAACCCCAGGGCATTTCTTCCCATTTCTCCAATTTAGTGGGCGCTTTCAGCATTGGCAGCATCTCCTCCGTGGCTCCAGCTCCTACTGATAGGCCTATGTTTTTGTCATACTCTCAGCCCCTGAGGTCCAGTAACATCAACTCTTCCCTTTGTCCCTCCAGCCTAGGGGTGATAATGGCTTCCTGCTATTGATAGGTTGCCTCACTATCCCGTTTGGCTTCTCAGCTTTCCCATAACTTGTAAAAACAATTTCCTGCATTAAATTATTTCTGTTTTAAATACCAAAGTGGTTTCTGTTTTCATGCCTGGACTTTGACTGACAGAAAAGATAAAATTGTAGAATTTTCTTATAAACTAACAAAAAGGTAGAGGTAAGAAATATGAAAGAAAAGTAGGAGATTCAGAGGTCTAACAGAAGACTGACAGGAGTTCCAAAAGGATGGAACAGAGAAAACAGAGGGAAAGAAATCATCAAAGAAAGAATGCAAGAACATTTCCCAGGACTGAAGGACATGAGTTTCCAGATTGATGGGACCTACCAAGTACCCAATACAATGCATGAAAGCAGACCCGTACTAAGGCACATAATTGTGAATTTTCAATATATTGGGGGAAAATAGTCAAAACTTAAAAGCTTCCAGAAAAGAGGAAAAAAAGTGACCATAAAGTTTTGCAAATCAAAAAGAATTTAGACTTCTTCACAGCAACTGAAAATTAGAGGTAAATGTAGCAATGCCTTCAATTTCATACCCATATTGTCAATAAGTGGGAGGAAAGAATGAAGACATTCTAGATTTACAAAAATCTAAATGTTTCACTCTTTTTACACACTGGGGAAGCTAATAAGGGATGTGCACCACCAAAATGAGGGAGTAAACTATAAAATAGGAAGTACATAAACCCAGGAGATAAGAGATCCAATCCAAGAGAAAAGACAAAGGAATCCCTAGATGATGGTAAAGGAAGATTATCTACTCTGCATTAAGAGTAGGAAGCAACCAGTTAAGACTGTATGGCCAAGTTAAGAATGGTTTTTACATTTTTAAGTCATTGAAAAAAAATCAAAAGAATAGTATCTTGTGACACATGAAAATTATATGAAATTTAAATTTCCGTGTCCATAAATAAAGTTTTATTGCAATATAGCCACTGTACCACATTCCAGTGTCTATGGCCATTTCTGTGCTAGAACAGCAGAGGTGAGGAGCTTCAACAGAGACCATATAGCCTGCAAAGTCTAAAATAGTAACTATCTGGCCCTAACAGAAAGTTTGCTGACCCCTACACACAGGATAGGAACCATCACTTATACTGATGTGATCCACTGTGAGGATGGCAAATGGCCAAAACAGATTGGTAAGACCATAAAGAATATTTCTAACATAAATTGTTACACTAAAAGCCAGGTGTCCCTATTTAAAAGGCTTAAGTTCTTCTGAGAAGAAACAGTGATACTGATTACAAAAGAGATGAAAAGAATATCAGAGCGGTGGTCCCAAGCAGTTGATGTCAACTAGAATAAGCTGGTTAAGAAATTCCCTATGGCAAAAATGGCTGTGTATCTTTAAAGGCACTGAGAGTCAGTGCTCCAATGTAGTTTGGTATGCTGTGGTATAACTCCTTTCATTTTTTCCAAATCACTAATGCTTGCAGTACACATACCCATGCGTACCCATATAGTGATGAGACCCTCAGTATTTGGAAAAAGAAGGAAAATCAAGATGCAGAGTGGGAGGAAAGTCCGAGGGCATCAGAGCAAACACCTCCTGTACACCCTATGCTCAACTGTGTCGTCTGTGTTTAGTCAATTTGTTTCTACTGCCTGAGATGCACCCTCAGAATCCAGGATCATATCCTACACATCCTTCAGAAACCAACAGAAATCCTATCTTATCTGTGAAGTCAGATCCTGCCTACTCTAGCTCACACTAAACTCTGTCTTCTTTGAACAATTATAACACCACTTGTTTTGGTCCACAATCTCTTACTGTTACTTAAATGTTTCAACTTTCAAGGACATGAATCATGTTATACAATCTTGTAGTTCGAAGCACTACATACTTTGTCAAGGAGTCTCCCAAATACCTGCCGAATTGAACCCTTCCTCCCATGGCAAATGTTTTTCCACTTGCCAGTTTACTAAAACATTAAGTTCTTGAGGGCGGGGATTGTTTCTTTTGTTCACCGCTGCACCCTCAGGGCCTAGAACTGGGCCTGGCACATAACAGACACTGGACAAATATCTGAATGAGTGAATGAATGAAAGGTACTACTTACAGGGGTAAAATCAATAGGGAAGTAACAGGATGTCACTTCAAACAACTCCTCCACAAAGGGTCCTAAGGCAACAGAGAAAGAATGAAGACTTATAAGCCTCTCATCTGACAAGCCCCAACCAGCTAATTGAAGGCTACAAGGGTGTACCCAGGCTATAGTCTCTGGAGATGAGGTCATGGACGATGCGGAAGGCCACCAGAAGATTACGGGGATCCTTTTCCCCATCCATCACCTGGATGAAGCCAAAGGTGAAATCAGCTCCTAGGCCCTTCAGCTCTGCGGAGGAGAGAACAAGATCATTACTGTCCCGTGGGATAGAAAGCTGGGCTTTCTTCTGGCCTGTGTTCTCCCTCTGCTATCACTGACTTTCCTGCCTACCAGAGCAGGCCCTTTCTGTTTTCCTATTCCAAGAGAGTTCTCAGTGAAGAGAAGATGTGCAACAATACATAATTGTTACAGCGGTAAGAATTTAAAACATCAGCTCAAACTCCACTGTTTCTTTACTTTCCTGGGGAGTGAGTGGCTCCCAGTTTCCCTTTATCATCCTCTCAAAGTACTGGCTCTTCTATATCACCCCTGGGCTAAAATGAGTCCTGGTAACGGGGGGAAAAAAAGATGTGCTCACTTTTCAGATTTTCCAGAGAGCCCTGCCTCTTACCTTCTTCCCGGGTTCGCATGAAGTTGGTGATGATACTGTAGACTGTGTGTCGGTCCACCTGTGGCAGGGACTTGGTAGGAGAGACAGGAAGTAAGTAAAGAAAGTGCCCAAAGAATACCTCAGCTGACAAAACTACTTCCTGCTTCACAATCTCTAAGTGGACAGTGCTCTTTACACCAGTATAAGATGAACCTCAGAGGAAATGTAGAGAAAGGATACGGCTATTGCCCAGCAGTCCAGCAGTGGAACCGATAACCAAAACCTGTCTGCTGTATGTCTTACTTTAAGTGTAAGAGGACACAGGTCAGACATAATGGCATGCCTCGCTCTCCTTATACAGTAGCAAGGGATAGCATGTGAACATGGTCAAAGACCTGAAAGAGTTCAGAACTTAGAAGGCAGTTTTTTTTGCCATCTAATTCTAGTTATGTCAATGGCTGGGAGATAGAGGAGAATACCAAGGTGACTGTTATCACTCACCTGTACGTGGACCTCCTGGAAGATGGCTTTAAGCACGGAGACAGCCAGCCCTGGGGGCAGGGCCACACACAGGCTCTGGGGGAGAAGAGAAGTGTGAGCACAGAGGGAATTCTGGGAATTCTAGCACAGCCTTCAAGACACAAGCCTAAAACAGGGCTATTTAGCTACAGTGGGAATCACAACATCCAGGTTTGGGAAGAAGTGCTAACAGTGAGAGACATGGTCCCTTTTCTCAAGTTGATTAGGTCTCTGCAGCTCCTTCCAGTTTGGCTTTGAATTCCAGTCCCCAAAGGATACTTTTACTCTACAAACTAAAAACAGAAGTGGAGCTGGCTGAGACTAGTTTACTCCCACATCTGGGCATCTGCTTTGAAGCACTTGAAGTCTCACCCTCTAAGGGGAAGGAGAGAATTCACTGGAAATAGGTTCCTGCAAACATGGTATGTAATACAAAAAAGAACTCACAAGTGCCCTCAAACCCTGCAGGACAGACGGGATCACAAGATGATGGTCCTTCAGCCGGTTCTCATAGAATAGGATCAAGTGTACCACTGCACAGACCAGAAATTCAGCCGTTAGTTTACACAGGCTGGAGGAGGGCCCACCGGCTTTGCTCCTTCCCAAAGTTTATAAGGGCTGTTCCTGCTTGGGCTTCACTACAAATTTTCTCCTTCACTGAGAGATATGTCCCAAGCCCTCCCATTTGAGGGTGACTTCCTTGATCTGTCAGGAAAATAGGTGAACATCTTTTATTATCCATTCTCACTAGGTCACAATCAAACCCATTCTCAAGCCGAGAACTGCCTTTCTACAGAACTTGGGTTGGCAAATTTTCTCAAAGGGCCAGACAGTAAATATTTTAGGCTTGTAGGACATAGTATCTCAAAACTACTCAACTGGGCCACTGTAACATAAAAGCAGCATACACAATAGGTAAATAAATGGGCATGGCTAGATGCTAATAAAGCTTTATAGAAGATAAATAAGTTGTTGGCTTTTTTCCTCAGGACTTCAAAACACTTTGATATTTCATTACTTTTCCACTCCATCTATGAAACACTACTTTGTCCATTTTACAAAGAGGGGAAGATATACTGAAAAATACTGTCTAAGGCTACATTTGAAATCCATGTGTCTTGTGTCTCAATTCTTATCTTCTCTGCCACATATACCAGTGAGGAATGAAGACCCTGAATTAAGAGTTCACAGATACCTTATGTCCTCCCTCCCTCCCTGTAAAGTTGGCTTGAATAGATCGAGGCCTTGCTCAGCACTCCTACTAGCGATGCCAGTACCTTCCTTCTCCAGGAGCAAGGAGTGACACTGCAGTAGCACCTGTGACAAGAGCTGGATTCCTCGTGCTCGAGTTCGGGGTTCTGGATTCTCTAGAGAGGACCTGGGGTAAAGTAAGATAGAGACAGCCTGACATTACCCAGTTCAAACTTTTGAAGTAAATATTTTGCAATTAGTCACACTTACCCCCTGGGCATGGAAGCCAGCCCAGGAAGGTATTCTGGAGGTGCTTAGCATTACAGACAACACTAAGGCCAATCCCCAGATTGACCTGGCATCATTAGAGGCATACGTGACACCACAGCCAACAGAAGTGTCCATCTCCAGGCACTGACTGGGCATGGGGCTTACTCCTTCTCATACAACTGTGACATTCCTCTGAAACAGAGCTTAGCAGCTAACCACAGGGCTCAAGAGATGACTGGCAGCTGCAGCTTCTACCAAAACAGGAGGAGAATAAATATATCACTGTTAAAGCAACCACTGTAGTCTTAGGGACCATATCGTCTTTATAACTGGAAGACCATTATGGTCTTTATAATTGGAAGTTTACAAAGTAAGATGGTCAGAGTAAAGGTTTTAACTATTTAGCATTATTGATATGGGAGGACCTAGGCTGAAGCAACAAGGAGGTGATTTATTTTCAAAACAACTCACATTTAGACATACCAGAAGGAATCTAAGTAAATGCAGGAGGTAGAAGACTTCTGAAGGAGAACTGGCCAGGATACATGAATGAAACCTCAAGGTTAAGAGTATCTATAGCTAGGGGTAATGGGGTAAAAAGAAGCTCACTTTTGACAGAATCCTTAGGACAGGAACTTATAGAAAGGTAGAAGTAGAAAACTGTGCATTTAAAAATGGACCAAGGCACACAAATGCTCATAGCAGCATTATTCAGAATAGCCAAAATGTGGAAACAACTCAGATATCCCTCAACTGATGAATGGTTAAACAAAATGTGGTATACCCATATAACAGAATATTGTTCAGCAAGAAATGAAGTACTGATACATGCTACAACAGGGATGAACTTTGAAAACATTATGCTAAGTGAAAGAAGCCAATCACAAAGGTTACATATTACTGTGTAATTCCATTTATGTGAAATTTTCAGCACAGGCAAATCCACAGAGACAGAGTAGATTAGTGGTTGCCAGGGGCTAGGAAGAGAAAGGAATGGGGAGTGATTGCTAATGGGCGTGGGGTTTCTCTTTGGGGTGATGAAAATGTCTTAAAACTGACTGTGATAAGGGTCATACAAATCTGTGAATACACACTTTAAAATGGTGAACTTTATGATACATAAATTGTATCTCGATAAAGCTGTTATTTAAAAAAAAATGGACCAAGGCCACAACATGAGGAGAAAGGCCAAAAGGTCTCTTATGTGGGAAAAATGCATAATAGTGACCTTACTTCCCCACCCTCTCCCCAATTTTCTAGTTTTTTCTGTTTTAGAAGACATGCTAGCCATGACAGTTAACAACCTTCTCTAATTTAAATGTCAATTTAAATGGTCTACCAAGTACGAAATATGAGGAAAGCAGACATTAGACTACAAGCATATAGTTCCTCTGGAGCTTGGAATATCTGGTGGTAACACTGGTCTTCCAGCTGTTTTTCCAAGCCTTTTCTTATAGTGGGGAACCTGGTGCAAGGTCAGCCTCTTGACCACTCCCCAGGCTGGGCTCACAGCAGGTCTGAGTCAGATGTAGGCTGACTAGAATCCTATTGGGGAGGGTGGGTCTAAAGAAGCAGAAGAGGAATCCCAGCTCTAATTAACTAACAGTTGATGGCTTTCAACCACCCATCTCAGCCTAAACCTGTGGGCTGACCCAGGAGCTAATGTGACCCATAGGCGGTGTTCCCAACACTTCCTTAGGGGCCTCAGTCAGGTGGCAAGAATCATTTTTCAGGAGAAACACTGGCTTAACCTGAGGTACTGATATGGGAGGGGGAGGAGGGTGTTGGGCTACAGTGGGAGAAATTCAGGACAAAATAACTTTTTCAGAGTGCAGCGCCAGGGCTGGAGGCTGGTATTCTAGAGCAGAGGCTCTTACCCAAGGGCTTCCACCACTTGTAACACCGTATAGCTTCCAGATTTCACATCTAAAGGAAAGAAGAAAAAGAAATCTGAAAAAACAAAAATAAAATTCCATCCCAGGGTTCAATGGCTCTAATTACCAATGTTTTTGCCTACCCTAGGTCTTACACCATGGGGCCCACTGTGCTTGCCAAGAGCCTCTCCTACATGAAAAGCATTTCTGTAACACTTCAAGTATGCAGCTCCAAGTATAAAAACTGAAAAGAAAGTCAATATATCATTTGCAGGTAACTGTTTATCTAGAAAATCCAAGAGAAATAAATGAAAAAAATCAAACAAAATAATTCATTAGGGTGGCTAGGTACAAAATTAATATGAAATTAAGAACTTTCACATACACACATACAATAGCCTGAAAATTTATATAAAGGAAAAAAGAGCCTATTTACAATAGCAACAAATAAAAATAAAAAAGAGAGAAAGAGAGAGAAAAATACCTAGATATAAACCTAACAAAAAATGTGAATATTTGGGGACTTCTCTGGTGGCTCAGTGGTTAAGAATTTGCCTGCCAATGCAGGGGACACAGGTTCAATCCCTGCTCCGGGAAGATCCCACATGCCGTGGAGCAACTGAACCCATGTGCCACAACTACTGAGCCTGCACTCTAGAGCCTGAGAGCCACAACTACTGAGCCCATGCGCCAAAACTACTGAAGCCCGTGCGCTCTATGGCCTGCGTGCCACACTACTGAGCCCACGTGCTGCAACTACTGTAGCCCACGCACCTAGAGCCTGTGCTCCACAACAAAAGAAGCCACCGCAATGAGAAGCCCACGCACTGCAACGAAGAGTAGCCCCTGCTCACTGCAACTACAGAAAACCTGCAAGCAGCAACAAAGACCCAACGCAGGCAAAAAAAAAAAAAAAATATATATATATATATATATAAATGTGAATATCTGAATGGTGAAAACTTTGAAGAACCACTGAGAAAGTTACTGTGTTAAAAATAATACATAATTAGACAGGCAAATTCTGAAAAAGAGCAATGAGGGAGGGAGGGAAGGCAGTTCTTCCAGATAGTAAAAGATTGTTATAAAGTCACAGTAATTAAAATACCGTATAGTTTTTTGTTTTTGTTTTTGTTTTTTTTTGGCGGTACGCGGGCCTCTCACTGTTGTGGCCTCTCCCGTTGCAGAGCACAGGCTCTGGACGTGCAGGCTTAGCGGCCATGGCTCATGGGCCCAGCTGCTCCGCGGCATGTGGGATCTTCCCGGACCCGGGCACGAACCCGCGTCCCCTGCATTGGCAGGCGGACTCTTAACCACTGCGCCACCAGGGAAGCCCATAAAATACTGTATAGTTTTGAATATACTTTATGTTTTCCATAATAAAAGTAACCAGTGTAGTATGAGTTCATATTCAAAGAAATCAATGGTACAGAAATAGAATAGCAAATCCAGAAAGAGACACAAATACATGAGAATATGATTTTAAAAATCATATTTCAATTAATGAAAAACAGACTATTCAATAAATGGTGTTGGCATGATTGGGTAAATATTTGAAACAAACAAACAAACAAACAAACCAATGGCTCTGAATCTTTCACCAAAGTAAATATCAAATGGATTAAAGAAAAAAACACACAAGAACATTTCTAAGTATAACATAGTTATATTTAGCCATAAAAGAAAAGATTGGTTAAAATCAGCTACATTAAAAAAAAAAATTGGATTTTCTGCAAGGCAAAAACAAACATCATAAGACAAACTGGGAAAAAATATTTGCAATTCTTATAACAAAGGGCTATTTTACCAATATAAAAAGCACTTCTACAAGTCATTGAGAAAAAAGACCAACAACCAATTTTAAAAGATGCTCAACCATATTAACAGGAATGCAAATTCAACTCCCCAAAACGTTGGTTTTTAACATACTAGACTGGCAAAGATCAAACATTTTGTATCACGCTTTTGTTTGGTGATGGTGCGTGGAATTAAGGCACTCTTAAACACTGTAGGTGGAGTAAAAATTGGTACTGCCCTTTTATGGAGCACCCCCCCCCCTTTTTTTGGCCGCGCCTGTGGGGCATGGAGGATTTTAACTGCTTGACTAGGGATCGAACCTGCGCCCCCTGCAGTGGAAGCGCGGAGTCTTAACCACTGGACCACCAGAGAAGTCCCTATATAAGGCAATTTGAAAACACTTTTTAAATTACAAATGTATGTAGGCTTTAATCCAGGGAATCTTCTCAGAATTTATCCTACATACTTGTAAAAGTGCAAAATAATGCATGTACAAGTTTTTTCATTTCAGAATGATTTATAATAGCAAATGACTGCAAACAACAAATGGCTGGGACATGGAAGCAACCTAAGTGTCCATCGACAGATGAATGGATAAAGATGTGGCACATATATACAATGGAATATTACTCAGCCATAGAAAGGAACGAAATTGGGTCATCTGTAGAGAGGAGGATGGACCTAGAGACTACAGAGTGAAGTAAGTCAGAAAGAGAAAAACAAATGTCATATATTGACGCATATATGTGGAATCTAGAAAAATGGTACAGATGAACCAGTTTGCAAGGTAGAAATAGAGACACAGATGTAGAGAACAAACCTATGGACACCAAGGGGGGAAAGTGGCGGGGAGGGTGGTGGTGGTGGTGGTGGTGGGATGAATTGGGAGATTGGGATTGACATGTATACACTAATATGTATAAAATAGATAACTAATAAGAACCTGCTGTATAAACAATACATAAATAAAATTTAAAAAAAAAAGAAACAAGTTAAATAAGTTATAGTACATCCATAATAGAATTCTCTGTAACTACTTAGGAAAAAAATTGAAAAAAGACTGAGGAACCTGTATATTTATACTGATAGTGGGAAAAGATTTAAAAGCAGAACATAAATAGAGTGTACATAAATAGTAAATAGTATGTGCATAGCATTGTTTTTAAAGGGAGGGAGAATTATTTCTATTTGTATTTATTTATATCTCTAGAAGATGAAAGGAATTAGTAACACTGGTTGTCTCTAAGGAGGGAGACGGGTAGCTGGGGGTTGAGAGGTAGACTTAAAAAAATGTTTTACACTTTGGAATAATTTTAGATTTAAAAAAAGGTTGTAAAGACAGTATAGAGTTCCTGTATACCCCTTGCCCAGTTTCCCTGAATGTTACCATCTTACATAGTACATCTGTCGAAACTAACAGAGATTAGCATTTGTATATTACTTTTAATTAAACTCTAGACTTTATTCAGATTTTACCAGTTTTTCCACTAATGTAATTTTCCTGTTTCAGGATCCAATTAAGGATACCACATTGCAACTAGCCATCATGAATCCTTAGTCTCCTCTAGTCTGTGAAAGTTTCTCAGTCTTCCTTGCTTTTCATGACCTTGATTTTAAAAGAATTACTTTATTGAATGTCCCTTGATATGGGTTTCTTTGATGTTTTCCTCATGTTTAGCCTGGGGTTATGGATTTGGAGAAAGAATAGCACAGAGGTGAAGTGCCTTTCTCATCACATCATATCATAGGTACAGTATATCAACATGACTTATCACTGGTGATTTTAACTTTGATCACTTGGTTAAGGTAGTGTCAGCAGGTCTCTGCACCATACATACTATTTTTTCTTTTCCCACACTCTTTCCTTTGGAAGGGAGTCACTAAGTCCAGTCCACAGTTAAGGGGAAACGGGAGATTAAGCTTCATTTCCTAGAAGGAGAGTATTTATCTATGTTATTTGGAGTTATTCTAAGGAAGATTCATCTCTTTTCTTCATTTATTCAGTTGTTTACATCAGCATAAGCTCATGTATATTTATTTTATTCCTTGGGTTATAATCCAATACTAGGTGTTTTTTTGGTTTTTTTTGCGGTGCGCAGGCCTCTCACTGTTGTGGCCTCTCCCATTGCGGAGCACAGGCTCCGGACGCGCAGGCTCAGCGGCCATGGCTCACGGGCCTACCCGCTCTGCGGCATGTGGGATCTTCCCGGACCAGGGCGCGAACCCGTGTCCCCTGCATCGGCAGGCGGACTCTCAACCACTGCGCCACCAGGGAAGCCCCAATACTAGGTTATTTTCTTGCTCAAATTTTCTATCTTTGGCCATGGGGAGCTTTTTTAGGTTGGCACCAGTGTCCCTTTGACATGCCCCATCCTTTTATTTTTTTAAGTGCTTTCTTACTTTCTGGCACTACAAAATACTACAGGGTCATCTTGTAACTTCCCTGCCCCAACCCATGAATCAGCCTTTTCTCCAAGAAGCCCTGGTTCCTTTTATTGGAGAATGGTATTAAAAACCAAGATCTGGGTGTAACTGTGCTCATTGCTATTGGGGTGTCACTGCCTCTAGGCCCTCCTCAGCAGAGAGAGCTGGGAAATATATGTACGTATTCTAACCCACGTATACACACATATTATCATTATGTCTGTATCTACCCATATATATTAAACTAAACATAAGGTCATATTAGTCTCCTCTCTAATCTAGTGCCACAGGGTTCATTCTAGCCTTCCCCCTTGCTTATTTGTAATTTATTTCTCTGACAGTGAGAAACCTGGTTCCCATTATCTATTATACCATTTATTATTCTTTTCAACACTAGTGTAGCTAATAAACTACTTTCAGAATTGTCAGCCTCTGTGAGAAACAAATTTATAAGCAGAGTACAGTATTTATGTACAGTTTTGTCTTTAGCCTTATAGTCTCCAGACAAAATACTGTTTTCCAAAGTCACTTAGATCAGCTTTTCCCCCCACCCCCTTTAGCAAGGATATATCATACACTAGTAATATAGTAAATTCATTTGTCACAGTCTGCATGCCATCTTGGGATGGAAGGGAGACTTCTCACTGTGTATCCTTTTGCACCTTTTGAATGTTGCACCATGTGAGTGTATTACTTATTTTTGAAAATGCAATTTTAACAGCACAATGGTAATTCACATAGATCTAACAGAATCATCGTGGGATAAATTTTCAAAGGAGAAACAAAGAGCAAAGGTTAGCCATCTTCCTAAGCGTTTGATTAACGTAGAGG